AGCAATCTTCGTCATCCGTATGACCGTGCGTTTTCAGTAGCGTTCTTTCCAGGTTAGCTGCAGACGCTGAAACTGGTTGAAGTTAATGAATGAAACTTCTCGGCTTTGGCACTCGTAAATAATAGTCATCGTTCAGCTATAACACCTTTCGGGTGCCTAGCTACTATGACACCCGAAGGAAGCACGAGGGCTGGGATACTGCCAGGTTACCCAAACACAGATATGAGAAGCCGAGAGGAACTCGTAATGCTGACGAAAAGCGAAACAATAAGCAGCCTCGCACAATGGCATGACCAGAGTCAAGTTCCGCACCCCAGAAGGAGCGACAACCCGTAATTGATGCTCTCCGTTGGTAACTGATAGCCACATGGTCCAACTGAGTTAATGACTATCTTGCGGTTGGTACCTCCACGTAATGTCATGTGAGCATTTGTGTTTGAGGTTCGTGCTGGCCAGGAACAGACGACATCAGCCCATAGATAAAGCAGTCACTTCCCATTATCCCTGCGCTGAGCATCTGCTCCAAATCTACCACCTAATTGCGCTTCACCAGGACTTAGAAGTCCAACTTGGGCACCCATATCACCCATCAGGATTATCGTTTCCATCTTTTTTGTTGACCGAAGCAGTCGTGGCAGATCTTGATAAAACCCATTCTTAGTCTCCGAATTGCAGTCCGTCGGGGCGTACGTTGATACGACAAATAAACACCATTTACCGCATCCACCAGCAGTGGTCTTTTTTGAGTCAGACATCCGCACAGCGCAGAGACGACTGTTTGCTGGGATCCAGTCCAGTAAGGCGCTTCTAACCTTGAGGCTGAGTGCAAATCCCACACCGCAGATACCACGAACCATTGCGTCAGGATGACCGGATGCTCGAAGAGTGAAATGTGGAAAATCTGAGCTCATCCTAAGTGGCTTGAGATGCACAACCGAAGTGGTCTTATATGCGTGTTTAGGATTATCGTTCCATCTTTTTTGTTGACCGAAGCAGTCGTGGCAGATCTTGATAAAACCCATTCTTAGTCTCCGAATTGCAGTCCGTCGGGGCGTACGTTGATACGACAAATAAACACCATTTACCGCATCCACCAGCAGTGGTCTTTTTTGAGTCAGACATCCGCACAGCGCAGAGACGACTGTTTGCTGGGATCCAGTCCAGTAAGGCGCTTCTAACCTTGAGGCTGAGTGCAAATCCCACACCGCAGATACCACGAACCATTGCGTCAGGATGACCGGATGCTCGAAGAGTGAAATGTGGAAAATCTGAGCTCATCCTAAGTGGCTTGAGATGCACAACCGAAGTGGTCTTATATGCGTGTTTCGGAACACCGTCTAGAGCACTGGCAGACGGGTTAACTGCACTGCCCCATTCAACGAGATAGGTGAAGGTATGAGGGTCGGTGAATTAAGAGCTGCTAGGGCGAATGATGATTCCTGTTTGCCCTAAACCAAAGAAGGGGGTTGTTTGAGGTACCCAACTTCGAGCCTCGATACTCAAATGTCTGGCAGTAGGGGGGTGGTCTGGCCTGATAGCACTGGGAAAAAGGCATTACTGTCTTACTCCTAGTGCGAATGCACACAGCAGCACCGGACTCTTTGGCTTTAGACGTATTTTGAATAATGTGCCGGCGGGCATGGTCAACTGTCGGGTGGTCAGTGTGCGGTCTTAGGGCCCACTTTTATAACCCATCTTTCCTCGGGGAAAAGCAGTATTGCTGCTTTCATGAATATGGAGAAGCTGCTCATCCAGGGGAATCCCAATATTACCTTCACACTCCTACCGCAGAGGATTTTGCCTCGAGACCGCCTTTTAATACGATCACTCGCAGTACGGGAACGGGTTTGCTTGATATCAGAGAGCCACTAGGGCGATATGGAGCAGTGGTCAGAGCGTGAATCTACTGACCGGAAGGTCCGTGGTTCGAACCCGACCTCTGCTACTCGACTTCCCGTCTAGGCTTGGGCAACCTGACAGTATCCCAGCCTTCGTGCCTCCTCCGTGTGGCACCGAAAGGGTGCTACAGTTGAATGATTTTTATTAGTTAGTACGGGAACTGACTGTCCTTCGTCGGGCTGCTTCCCTATGGGCTTCCTGGCATGGTTAAACCTGAGTTCCAGCCAGTATAGCCCGCAGAGGTGCAGCACAGAAGCCCGAAGAAAAGGACAAGTCAAAAACTTTAGGCCTGGTATTCTGTATCACCTGGGGGGCAGACAAGACATCAGCAATTCTGCCAATGGTCGAGTTTACAATGCTGCTGTGTGGGACATAAACGTGGCAGGTGCGAGTAGAGAATGTTAAAAAGTTTTTTAGTGTTTAACTATCGCTACCTTCGGAGCATTGTCCGAGCCCGATTAGAATATTCAAGCAGTACTGCTGAAAAATACCCAACAGGTTTGAGAGTATAACGGACCCATGATGAATGCATTCATCACACTCCAGAAGTTACGTTGGCCTGGTCACATGCTCCGTATACCAACCGACCGAAATCCTCAGAAGGCCCTACCCACACAGCCACAAGGAATGTGAGGACAAGTTAGCAGACGTCAAATAATAATTCGGCAGCGAAGTATGAAAACTACTACCGACAAACCCAACTGCACTGGTCACTGCCATCCTCCTGGATTGGGACCGCGATACGTTTCACATCACTGGTTAGACACTGACAGATATGACCCAGTCGCGCGTTCACTGTGGAGTACGCATTCAAGCCGTCACATTCGATACATGACTTCCCTTGCCGATTCTCCAATGAAAAATGCAATATTACTCCTGGATTCGAGAGTCAATTATTTCCTCTACCGCTTCCAGTGCTCAGCTATCTACCCGTATCTTCCCAGGTCATCGGTGGCAGCTACAACCGATGTCCATCTACGCACTTCATGAAAACCCCTAGCACAGGAAAGACCATCCATTTGACGTCTTCAAAAGTTGTAGTGCAGTGAAGCTGAGGTTACGTTTTAGTCCGCGATCACGCTTTAGGCGGCGATCAACTTCGCAAGGAGCCTTTCCCACCACTCATCCTCTCTTGGGTGGAAGGCCGTTGATAAACATTTCTGCGAGATTTACCTGTTAACGTCTGCGAAGGATTATCACAAACTGGAAGTCGATCGCTGTGTTTGTTGTCTGCATGCGCCCTGACCAACTGCAGCCCTGACATAATCAAAGACAAGCTTTAAGACACCTTGAACGCTCTGCTACGACAGGCTAAAAGCCCAGATATCGTTGTATCGCCGAAGAAGAATGCATAAGTGGTTAGGCTGACTTAGTGCATCTGAAGCTCAGTTGGGTGGTCAAATTGGGTTGTATTTAGCACGTGTGGACAATGGCGAGCGACTGCTTGAGCTATATGCCGACTGCAGTGTTTTGTGTAGTACTAACTTCCGAGATCACCCGAGTTGTCTAGCTGCATGGTGTTCTCCAGCGGAAAGCCAGACACTGACCTGAACTTATTGCCGGTATCGTGAATAACTGACTGACGCCCGTTTTGGAACACGTGTGTACTCTGTTCATAAGCCTGTTTGGATGGGCTTCTCTCGTTTTTTTATGGCCACGTAAAGGGCGTACAAACAACTTGGCAACAGAGAGGCTGATAGATCCAGATGTTACATCAATTTGTCACAGTCGTCTTTTGAACTCTCTTCTGACTACTCCACCGTCGGGTGCGAATTTGCACTGGAACGGGATTGTCACATCTTCGTACAGGTCCGCCTGTGGCATGGAGCTATCAGGACCACTCAAGCACTAGATATCAGGGAGAACAGTGACTGCATACATCTCGGGATAACGTTTTCGCCGACCCCGAAAATAATTCAGCCCAAAGGATAATCAGCCGTCAAGTAAAACCGAGCGTGGGCACCGACAGTGAAGCTTGGTGCATACAGAAGATTGAGAAAACGGAGGAGACCCGGAAAGCCTGGGATGCAGGAAGATTATTTCGGCAGATCCGGGTGACCGTCCCCCAGAGACCGCCTGTGCATGTGACACCCTTCCAAAACAGCTCAATGGATTATAAAGGCACAAACACCACTGCATGCTCCAGTGTTTGCGTGACAAGCGGGTGGTTGGGATCCCAAATGAAAGCCGTTCCGTCGAAAGTCTGACCGCATAGAGCGGTGGTCAAACTGTTTGGAGATGCACCTCCACACCTGCTCCGATATGAAAACCTAGGAAATTGTGTTAAGCAGACTTTTGGCGAACACACTGCAAGTGCCACAATAGCAACACCCAGTATACCTCAACAGGTTATAAGGATGTACGAACTGTTAAACCACGGTCAGCCTCATGAACACAAAAATCTGGGGACCTCTGACTGGTAAACTCACATCAGCTACCGTGTCTTTTGGTACAAACCAGACCCAGAACCGTGAAGGATCACGAGGGAGTTTCTGCCGGGCAAAAGGAGCAATCAAATATTCCAGGCTGACTACCCAATCAAGCCATCCCACTGAATTCACGTGTTCTCTATTTTGTGTTCGTCTGAAAACAGAGGGATAATTCTGTTTCGGTTCTCCAGCTTCTGCTATTCTGTACACATATGAAATGCACGGGCTTTGAGCTATGTGACTTTTCCGATTTTATTGTGAATTACTGGTATTCTTCTGGGAAGGATATTGTCCGTTCATCACGTTTCTACTCGTTTCCGTGAGCGCTAAGCTGTCAACACCGGTCATTCTCTGGTGAGCGGTTAACACTAGAATTTGGTCTCAGGATACAACTCTCAACTTGAACCATAACACGTCAAAATATCATAAGGATTTTGCGAACCGACTGGCTGGTAGAAGGCGACTTTGTGGTGGCGTGCGCCCTAGTCACCACGGACACACTGCAGTGTGTCCAGTGCGTAAGGATATCACTTAGGTAACACCCAACACGTGATGGGATGAACTACTACAGAAGTAGAGTAGAGATGACTACACTAAACATGTTTCCCACTTTAACAACTGAATGGTGGCACCAAGAATGAAAATGCTTGAAGTTTGTCATACGAAACTCACCTGGTATAACGGCGAATGATGGGAAAGTGAGTACTGTAAGCCAGTTTCGCTGACAATCGGAGCGGCCGAATTAACCATGGACTGAGAACGTGTGTTATCAGGTGAAAACCCCCTATAGAGTGCATCCATTACTTTCATAAAGTTGAGGACTGGGCCAACTCAAGGCGTGAAGCTCCAAAGCTGCCGTGCGGATGGATGTTATATTAATTCACTGTAAACTGATACACGGCATCTTGACAGCCACAAACCATAAAGCTGACCGCCGGATTAAGAGACGTCGCGCCAAAACGAACCTTAAAAACGCTCCACGTTTGTTGCGTTCTTTGGTGTGAGTGAATCGAATTTTAGTGTCAGGAAAACTGAGGGGACTTTTATCACAGCGAGAAGCTGTAAATAAAAAACACTGGTTTACGGGTTCGAAAGCATCTTGAATCAAAAATCTACAAGAGATCGCGGCGCACAATTCGAAATTTTTAAACAGGGGCGCCGTCAGAAAACAGTTACTTGTGGCCTGTACTGAGATTAATACATGGCCATGTCACAGTGCTATAAGGATGGGCGCGACGTTGCAATCCTCCATGTTCCTTCCATTCATTGTACCGTCCCGATCTCCGCCGATTTCGCCGAGCGCCGCAATTAAAATATTTGTTGTACGGTCAGCAAAATTGGCGCCCACTAAGCCTAGGCGGAGCACTTGGTGCTCGCGAATGTGATCCTTTAGACTTTTGTCTTAGTTGAGATTCTTGCAGGTAAGCGTCTTGGGTAGTGTGCAGTGCTATGCGATGTGTTGCCGATTGTGCGGACAAATGTTTGTGTGGGCGAGATCTCGTCAGTCGAGAGTGAGACCGGTCGCGTGCACACCAGGCCACCGCAAACGTTGTTTAGTTACGGTAAGTTAAACATGTATCTCTCACTTGGCGCGAGCCAGTCGAAATAGTGAGCGTACGCTGATAACCTTCGGTTGCTTGGAAAGCAGGAATATTTGGGTCGATTTCCGTGGTAGTTTTTGGCAGCCGTTTGAATGTCAGTTAGCCTACAATTGTGGATCTGATCCGCTTGCTTGACAGTTCGCATATATAACGTTTTCAGTTTCAGCCCACCAGTGCAACAAACGTGTTTACGCCATTTATCACCATTGGTGGCAATGGTGGCTTCAAAGCACAATGATTTTCCGCAAAAACCTTGTGAGTGAAATAAAAACTTAACCGTCAAAATGTTGCACTCCTTTGCATATGTGCTCAGCCTCATTGGCAGTCAATTTTGTGCGAGTTGTTTTAATTGATCTCTATTCGAAATTTCCGGCGTATATTCGGCTTTGGAGTTGGTGTGCTATGGCTTCGGAAGTGACTTCACAAGCGTTCGTTGAGAAACTTCTGGCTGTATCGTTTAATCCTTCACGGCACTTGAGAAGTCTAGTAGGCACTCTATGAAAGCACCAGGGGACAGTGATTCTCCGAAGGCAGATGTTCACTAAAACTCATCTGGATGGGAAACAGAAGCAAAGCTCGCGAGCCAAAGCCCAGTAAGCAAGGCTGTACGTCACCAATACTTACATATTAATCAATCAGATTGACAGACGCCGCATACTACAGAAGGCCTTAAATCATTGCATGAAGAATAATTTTGTAGTATTTTTGCGTTCATCCAGTAATCGAAGCACCGATGCTGTTTTGCATTACGAATGGGTGCACTATAAAACCCAGCAGGCGCCCACCAAGACCAACGGAAAGTCGGAAAATCCATGGAAGCTGGTAAGGCCAGCGTATTTTCTAATAAAAAAGTGCTCGAACAACCAGCTGTCTAGTGCTGTTTTGTCTACGGAGGCAAAGGGACCAATTGGCAGTTACCTCTTAATTTCCCGGACACAACCACGAGTTGTCAAAGTTTCTGTACGGCCAACTTCCATTTAATCAACGCCTAACCGAAGACGAGTTGGGCACCTGCAAGGCCCTTCTGAAATATGGAACTCCTTCATGTGAGGTGCGGCACTTTGTGGCGGATGAGTTCGGAAAGATTCTTACCACTCAGGATATATACAACTATCGCCGGAATTGTCCACCATCTATGTTGAGTAGGTGTCTCATAGTTGGGTTTTAATGTAGCAGATGATATGTCTACGGTCCTGGCAAAGCTTTGGAAGACCGGACGCTTGCTTTTCTGTTATTCACAGGAAGGCCACATTTGGTTCTCCGACGGCAGCGGACAGCGTTTTTCCGACGCCGTTCAGATGAGGCCAATATAGACGTAGCACATGCAACAAACCGCCCTGTGTAGGTTTTCTAAAGCACTTTATATTTGGTATGTAGATGTAAGCTGTACATCGTCTTGCTAATAAACGGCGTGGGAACCGGGCGTCCGGTTATATATGCATTCGTAGGGAGCGAACAGTTTGCTCCAATCCGTAAACCGTTCAACTTATCCAAAGAAATGATGGGCGAAACTTATCCGGTTACCACTTTTGTAGTGGAAAATTTGGCGGCGCAAATGCGTGCAGCAGGAGTCGTGCTCCACTGTGACGTGTTGCTTTGCTATTTTCACGTCCACAAAGCCATCAGGAACCAAGCATGTATCATTTAATATCCATGTATTTTGGTCATAGACACATTCTGCGAACAGCCGGCACATATTTCACCGCAAGGCTTGTCTGTACTGTAGTTTTTGTCTATCGTATTACAAGCACAAAGATTCCGGCAGAGCCTGCAGCCTCTGCGCCGCACCGATCCTCGATTTGTTTCCTATCCTACGGCCCGCTGGTTATACATCACCCGAAAATGGACCACACACAGTCCGAAATGGTTCATTCCGGTAATGTGACGAACAACCGTGTGGAGGCTGCGAATGACCGGGTGCACCACTCCGACACGTTAAAGCATGCAATTCAAATTTGTCCTGGCACGCTGAGTGGCGCATGCGGGAATTCGCGATGTATACATAGTACCACCGCAACAGGCGGCAAATCCTTGAAGGTAACGCCTACGTGCTTAACGTGGTCTGTCGAATGACAATGCGTGCATGCTCTCTAGTTTTGAGGTACTTGGGACCACGGTCCCTGAAGCTTCCTAATGATAGTGCTGAAACAAACAAGGTGAGGTCAAGCTACGTGAACTATCTTATAGTTTGTGGTGCAAACATTCAAATGCTCCCAGACGAATGACACCTATGTTAAAAAATGCACATACCCACAGCCATCTTTAAGCACTTTATTGTTCAGGTGCAAATCCTGAAGCGTCAAGGCTCAAAGTCTGCAACCGACAGCCTGCTGTTGGTGGTAGAGGATACTCGCAGTGGCCGCTGGTGTGCAATGCATCGCGTATCATATCACGCTGATTGTTGCGATGGTGAACGTTGCCCGCTGTGTAGTGGCGCTCTTCAATCTTGTCCCAAAGGTGAGTCTACATGGAAATAAATCACTTTTGGTACTGAGCTTCAGGCCCATCCAGAAAGCGCAAAGGTGTGCTTGCTACCCGGTCCGCAAGGAGGGCCTCTTATGATGTTGACCTCGACCGAAGAAGAGAATTCCAGCACTGTCTGTCCCGAAAGTCTGTGTGTGTCTCTGCTTTCGGGTCCAAAGGGGAACTACTCCAAAGCCGTGAGTGAATGTCTGACCGCTACGACTAACGCTGTAGAGCGCCAGCTTGATGGAAGAGACGAAGATGATTTCTTGTGGTCCATCAGCTCCGAACAGTTGACCGGTTAATGAGGCACTCTTCATTTCGTTTGAGTCTCGTATTTCTTGAGGGATGCAGCAGGCATGCACACGAAATAACCACTGAAGTTGGCATTGTGTGAGTAGGCATCTACGACAACATAGCCGCTGAAGTGCATTTTGGGGTAAGTATTCCTACAAGTTTGTCGGTCGCCCGCACTATGGAGATATTTTGACGACCTTAATTATACCTCCCTCTCATCCAGGACGTCTGGCGAAATGAACACTCCTCACGGATAAGATCATGCCTCTCCCGGAAGGACATATGTACTCTTCAAAGCGACCAGTACATCTCAACACTTTATTTCGTCCATTTTAAGCCTTTTCCTCGGTACAGATGGATGGATGCGCTCCGGTATCGGGTACCCGTAGCCACATGTTAGTCGTGTGCGTCAGTTAGGTTCGTTCATCAGTCCGCTATGATCGCCGTCAGTTCCTTGTTGTTAATCGATAAACGTTGATGTCTTCGCAGCATAATTTGTAACCTTTATTGGAAAAATCTGCTTCTTGCCAAGAAATGTGCACAGGCGTATGCAAATAACGAACGTGGAATACGAAATTTTAACTGGCAACAGTAATTATCGACCAACAGTTGCTTGCACCTACGCACATTTTACATCTCCAAGGGCCATGTGGATTCTAGAATGTTCAATGAATTATTTCGAGTGGAAAATTATCTGAAAGTTCCGTCCAGTGTAAGTGAGTCAACGGTTTCCACAATTCGCGATTTTTTATTACATCAGGCAACATACTCAGATTTTCAATACTACAAGAGCATATACATTATACAAAGACATTCCACACTGAAGTGGCGTACCCGAAAATGCTGTAGATTCCGAGAACTCAATTCTATTCTGCGAATACTGAGCGGTGCCTTCTGGACTTTTGCCCACAGAGCTTCACAGGACCGCCATGAATGCCTACACCGTGAATATTGTTCGAATGACTTTGTTGGATAAAAATGGCTCGCAGCTGACTAGAATCAGGGTAGTAACACTCAATGATGCCTTTTGCACACATAATTGCCATGAGGACAAAGTGGCTGCGTCGCAACCATAGCAATCAATCATATACTACTGTGTACCAATCCTCGCATTCAGCAACGGCAGCAAGCCGTATTTTGGGTAGCCTGAGAGATATGCCTTCGCCAGGTAGTCTTTCACCACTGAGCATAAAAGAGAGTCTCTTTATGCGTTTGTTGAGTCCGTAGGTGGCTGGCGATACTGGAATATATTTTGTGCTTAGTTGCCGTTGCTCTCATCAGGTCGTTGCTCGAAGCTATTCTGGGTTAGAAACCGACTAAGCGACATTTTTAGCCTACGGAATACTTGCCACAAAAGCATGTGTGACAACTAGCCCTGTGTGCTCAGCCTGAGCCGATGGAAGCGTGCTCTTCAAACGGCCCGATATCAACAGCGAAGTGGCGAAATTTCGGATTGTAGTTTGAACGACCAATCGTATTGTGATCGTGCTGACAGTTTGCTGGAACGGTTGACTTCAAATATCAAATGTGTAACCACTTCCGTCAAACCAGTGGGTGAAGTAGGTCTTCTCTTTAATTCTTCTTAAACACATTTACTGTCATGTCCTTCTGGAT